AGAAAGATTGTTAATTGAGTAGTGAAGAAGGAGTAGGTTTAAATAAGCATATGCTTCATCCTACTCCTTTTCGGACATGTGGGTTCACATTATTACTTTTGTTTTGACTATTGCTATTGTTGTTCTGACTATTTTCATTGGATTTGTTTGTCAATTTACTTTGTCGTGTTACTTGCACATGTTCGAAAAAAAAAAGAAAAAAAAGACCAGACTACATCAGTTACACAGCATCACTGGTCCCCAACCTTTTTCCTTAAGGGACCTCTCTTTTCTATCATTTAGTAAACTGATAACTCCTGCTTTACTTATTTTATGGATATTTCATAACTATTTATACGTTTTCTTACATCCCTTGCAACCCCCCATGAGGCCTTGGTGACCCTTGGTGGGGGTCCCAACCACCAGGTTGGGAAACACTGATCTAGCTAACGTGATGTATGACTTAGAAACAGGTTCATTGTGGACGTTGCCCAGATGTAAGCTGTGATGTGAATCACCAGTGGTTCTGCATATGGATCATCATATGCATCGTCTGCAGGGACGACAGATAGTGACACATCAGTCCTCAGATATTCACTAATAAAAGTCACCCCAGTGCCACCAGTTAAACCTGTCTGAGGTTGTTTTTCTCTGGAGAGTTTTGTGGTGCAGCAACCTGAGGGGCCAGGATCACATGGGTAACCACCAGCACGCTGCTGCCCAACACCATCAGTGCAGATGAAGATGCCGACATGTTGTAGATGTAGTTTAGGAAGGGTCAATGAAGCTCCTGATGTTGCTAAAGACTGCCCAGACAAATTACACATTGTGCCCTCTCTGCTTACCTTGGTATTAACCAACAATAGTGGAATCCTTTCTGCCTCTCATGAAGTCCTTGCCATGGTTTCAGCATGTGAATCATAGACGTCTTTCCCTCTGGCTGCTTCCTCCAGAAACACAACCCCAACCGGAAAAGGCAGACACAGCTCTCACTCTGATTATACAACAACTAATAACAACTCTGGTACCCCTTACTCTTACCCCGCACAACATACCACAGACCTTCTACTAGTCCACAGACCACATGTGGACTGGATGGACCAACTCGATTGACCTGTTCAATATCCCTGAAACAGCTACAGGAACAGAAGAGAACCTGCAACGTTTCTTCTGGATCTGCCGTTGGTGTGGGTATCACGTAGTGCTGTAAAGATTCACTGATACAGGTCAGAAATCAGTTTTGAAATTATAGATGTTCTAAATGTACCACAAACCAGCCGATGGTCCGATTCTAAACTTATGAATCTGTTGACTGAAGCTTCTCCACTCTCCTGAAAGGTCAAAGGTCAATGCCAAGGTCTCGCCACAAGAGAGTCAACAACTGAGCTCCAACTAGGCGAGGTCTAAGGTCATCACTGCAGGAAGTCTGTCTGCTGGAAAAGCAACAAACACAATGACTGTAACTCTGAATCAAACATGATCAGACATTTGTCTTGTGTACATTTGTACTTGTGATTCCTGGTATTTTATAAAATAAATTGTATTTGAAAGTAAACAATGTCACTTTTATAACATTGGCTTATTTAAATTAAGAACTGTATCAGATTGTTCCAGGTTAAAATGTATCCTACCTAAATTAAACAAGAACCACTCACATCTGCCAAAACCACCGACGTAAACTGAACAGATGTGATGACCAAGACAACCCAACAAGATCTCAGACTCAATCTAAAGACCTCAGTGACCTCTGCCAGAAAGAGTAAGTCAAAGAGTAAAATAAAGTAAAACTAACTCAAATTATTTTTTTCTCTGTAAACTATACACAAATCTGCCCATCCGTTTGTGTGTTCCGCCATCTAGCAGCGCCGCCATACCCGCCTTATCAGGTCTGTTTCCTTATGATGCAGAAATTCCACCAGGCACGGCTTTATGGAGTCCCACTGAGAGCGTTCAGTGTTCACTCTGTGTGGGTGGTTGATATCAGAAATAAACGAGCCACGTGGCGCACAGCGGAACAACAGCTGCAACGAGCTGCAGCAGCGCCGGGTGGAGCTTTAGTTCCTTCTGCAGTCCCTGAGGTCAACAGTTCTCCTGCTGTAGACAACCTAAGATCCTAAACCTGAAAGGACTCCAGAGCCTCCTTCATCGCTGACCAACGTTTTTAAGATTGCCACCATTACAGGCATCAGTAACTTTGAACATGAAAGTCGTTTTTATTCCACAGTTGAATTACATTTCCTCATTTCGGGATCAAACTTTGTTAAACATTAAATCAGAAGGTTTCTGTTGACATCCAACTGTCCAGTTAGACCATCAATGAGCTGATCGGTGCTCAGTTTCATGAGTTAATGAGGTTGAACTTCCTTCTACTGAAACAGTTTCTCTCCAGCAAACACAGTGGATCAATGCAGCGAACCTTTCTGAATGATCTTCACCTATTTAAAATGGTGACATCTGCTGGTCAAACCTTATTATAACATCTTCATTCAATCTGCCAATGAAACACATTAAACACTATCAGGTACAGGTTGTTATTCTAGCTTCTTATTCTGAAAAAGACAATATTCCTACTAATCTGTTTACATGTTGAATAAAAAAATTGGACAAATTTGTACTCTGATTACTGTAAATGACATACTGTACATCATCCTTTCTAACTACTGTCTTGTTGCTCTTGTGTATTAAATAAAAAAGATGCTTAAAACTCCTGTTACCGAAACATTGTAAGAAATAATTAAAAATGTTCTGGGATTGATAGTTATAACATGCCAATGGCACCGATGAATAATATCATATCAGACGTCTTAATCTGAAAATGCTTAAAACAGAAGATGCTGTTTATCAATAAGGAACAATAATGTAAATACAGTCAGTGATATCTGAACACCTTGTTATAATGTGTAACTACACTGTGCTTTATGAGGTGCAGATCTGATTGGACATAAAGTTATCAACTAGCACTTCCTGCAGACAGCAGGCCGACGTAATAACTTCATACTGTGTCTTTTTTCACGACCACAAAATATAACGAATGTAAAGCTTTAGAGAAAATTACTGAGGAGAAAACACAGGATGAACAAACAAAATGTCTCCATTTGGCTCCTAATTGCTCCCAATGCTGTGCAACAGTGTGTGAATGAGTTAGTTTCTGTGTTTCTGTTCGATGGACTGCCATCGCTGAGTGAATGTGTG